TTTAATATTATTTTAAGTATAATAAATAAATTTTTATATTAAAAAACATTTTTTTATATAAAAATAAATCAATATCTACCAGCTCTCTTGTCAATTAACAATTGACAACTCAAAAACAGATCAAATACAATTTCTTACATACTCAATTTGCCAAGTATACTACTCTACAAGATAATCAACATAAACTGTGACCTACAAACCTATTCTATACAAATTTTAATTCACTCAAAATCTCATCAATCCACAGCACCAATCATAAAATAAAACCAATTAATTCAAATTATTAAAAACTATAAATAAAATTAACACATGAAAAATTAAACTACCATAATCTTAAAAATTGAAAGGGCTTCATACTCNGGATAACTAGTAACCTCACATTGCTATGATTGAGCCATTGAAGAAGGCAATCTTGGTGAACGAACTCAATGCTTCCACTGCAAGCGTAGGGGTATCGCAGGGGATTATCACCGTCGCCAGGGTTCCAACAAATCAAGCAAATGTCCCCCTCCTCATCATCATCCAATAAATCGTGTTTATTGATACCATTAATCTTATTAACATCATTAGCATAACAACTTCCGACGTCCCTTGAACCCAACAAAGATTCCCCTGAAGATGATACGGAGTTTGGCAGAGCCGATGAACAATACTCCTACAAGTTCTCAATATTCCACTTCTCGAAGACCCTTTTGACGCATAAGGAAACCCGAAAAGGTAGCGTATTCTCCTAGACTCTCACAGCACTTCAGCTGAAGTTTCTTGATGTTCTTACAGTTTCTCCATAGAAGATCAAGCCCAAAATCCCCCGGTTGAATACCAGATAAACAGAGAGACTCTAAACCCAATTCAACATCAAGAATTTCATCCATCAAACAATTCACAAACCACAATCATTCCGCCAAACCCTAATTAACAATTCAAAAACAAATCAGATACAAACAACCAAACCCTAATTACAAGTCCACCCAAACCACACAATTCCAATATACAGACCTGAGGGAATTTCCACCGAGCCGTGCGTTCCCCAAATCTCTAACCTCTCTGTTTCTCTTGTAGAGAGGAGACGGGAAAGAGAAGCAATACCGCGCTCGCTACCCCCATTGCTGCCGAGCCAATTA